TCTCTTTTTCTTTTTTTTTCTTTTTTTTTTCTTTTTTTTTCCATCCTGAGAAAATGAGAGTGGATATTTCTATTTTGTTTTGCGGAGGATTAGTACCAACTAATAGGATTAATATCCTGAGTTGTGTGGCAAATGGAACATTGTTAATAGGGTGATTATTAAAGAATTATATTGAGGGGCAAAATTATTAAAGCAGCTGAAATAAAACATCCCCGTTCTGGAGAGAGTGCCGTGACTCGGTAATTTCCCAGCTGCCTGGCCTGCTCATGCTACTTCAGATTTCTTTATTTCTCAGGCCTGTTTTGCCTTTGGGATCGACTGCAACATCAGCCCAGGATATGAAGCAATTTCAATGGAAGTGCTCGATGCAGAGAGCTGGCGTCTGCTTCAGGGCTCCCTGCCGGGACCCTCAGAGAGAAGGGCTAAAAGCAAGTGCAGGGACGCGAGAGGCAGCATTTCTACCTCCCATGGGGTGGATCCCGGCAGCTCCCGGGGGCTGCTGCTCCCCATGAGCAGCTCCCTCCTGCCCCATCTCTGCTGCTGCTCTGGCCGGCTCAGCCCTGCGCCAGGGCCCCGGTGCAGGAGGAGGCGCAGCCCGGGAGCACCGCGCAGCCCGGGAGCACCGCACGCTCCGCAGGGAGAGCTGCAGAACTGGCTCCAGACGTGTGTGCAGGGCCAGATACATCTGGCACGAGTCTCACAGGAGGTGTGAGTGATGTCTAGCAGGTGTAAAATCGACACCTTCTGCAGACTCGGGAACTGGCTTTCCAGAGATGGTGGATAGCCTGCAGCTCTTATTCACATTTAGGAGAGCATTTGTGGCTTACGTAGTCTTCACAAAAATTAAAGGACACTTAATTGTTGCCCAGATCCTACATCTACAGTGCCTGAAAGAATGCCAGTTCACCTAAAAGAATGCAAATTCCCTGGCAAGAGTGGAAGCCTTCAAGGAGGGACGTTAGGGAGAGAGGTTTCCGTGGCAGCTGAGCCCTATTAATGAGTGGAGACTTCTGACATCTGTCTGAGAAATTGTCTTTGTGTCCAGGGCCAGAATCCAAAGCTCTGGAGCCAGCACAGGGTGGTTAGTGCAGAGAGGGCTTTGTTCCTCAAGAGGAATTTTTTTCCAGACTCTGGATTTCTAGATCCCTAGAGGAATTTAGACCTAGTGTTCAGGTATTTAGGCATCTGCTGGAGGAGGCTTTGTCTGAGCAACCGATAGGAATTTGTTCCCTTGAACTGGATCCCCATCACACACCATGAGTCATCACTATTTATATCGGCTGCTGATTTCTCCTGGTGGCAGCTATTTCAGGCTCCCTCCCTTGTATTCAGCAGAGATTTGTTTTCTTTTTTTTTTTTTCTTTTTCTTTTTTTTTTTTTTTTTTTTTTGATATTGAGCTCCCTTTTAATTCTTTTCCAAGGATTTTTATCTTCCTTTGTACTTGAACAGCTGATGAGCAGTCTGAGAGCGGGGCTGCCCTTGCCTGCCACTTGTTCCAGTGGAGATGGGCAAGCTAGTGCAGATGCAGCTTTGTCTGAGAGCGCATTGCCAGGAGTGCCCGGCCATCTCGACATGAAAGGCTCCAGCCAGAAACAGAGCACTCCGTATCAAGCAGACATTTTAAACACTGTAGAATTACAATCTGAAGTAGTGAGTTTGCTTTGAGTGTGACCCCTGGTTACCTTAGGAGTTCTGCAAGCAAACAGTAAATAACGTTTACGAGAGAAATAACGAGAGAAAAAAGATGAGTACTTTCTTATTGCAAAGAGAAGGGAAGCTGGGGCCGTGTGGAGAGCTGCGCCTCAGCCGTGCTGAGGAAGGCGGCAGCCGAGCTGGGAGCTGCTCCGAAGGCTGCTGAGCTCCAGCGGGATGCAGTAGCCACAAGGCTTTCTGCTGCCGTCGTGTTTCCCTCCCTGTCCTCCCCTGCGCACTCTGAGTTCCCAAGCTGTCGTGTTCGCTTGGCCCCTCCACCAAAGAGGCTTAAGGAGCTGTTTCTGCTGGCGAATCAAGCCAGCTGCTCTGAGGAAGGAGCTGTGGAAATGACAGGAAGGTGCTTTACCTTCACCTCTCCAGGAGAGCTAAAAGTCTGTGTGGTTTGAAGATGAGCTCCCTATGCAGTGAGTGTTAAGAACACCCACAAGGTTTCTGTTTAATTACCAATTGCGGCTGATTTCACAGAGCAATTTCTAAGCCTCCAGCAAGACCTTGTGGCAGTTCTTTCATCTCTCAGGCTTATTGGGAAAAGCTGTATTAAATGTCTTTTAATCCTGCCTTGGATGCACTACCTTTGATCACCTGCAATACATCTACATTTATACATCTGCGCTCAGGCTCGCAGTCCTACGTACGTGCTCCCCTATCCAAAATGCTTTAAACTGTGTCCATCGATTAGAAAATCTCTTCCGGCTGGTAGAAAGTGTCCTGCACGCTTGATTTGAGTACCTTGAAAGCTAATGATCACCCTGCTGGCCATGGGGCTTGCGGCTCTCTCCTCTTTGCGGGGCGATTGTGGTAACAAGCGATCCCTGCCTGGGCTCCAGCTGGACTCCTGCACTTGAGCACTGCAGCTGCGTCATGGGAGCTGGAACATACCATCCTGCTTGGAAGGCTCTCCCTTTCTTGCCATCCCATCCCGTTGGAATGCTCTCCTTTTCTTGCCATCTAATCCCGCTTGGAAGGCTCTCCCTTTTGTAGCGCACAGGAGCCTCCCTGAGAGCTCTCTCTTTTGGAAAGGTCCCAGAGTGTTTCAGGGAAGGCAAAGACAAGGCAGGAAAAGAGTGCTTGTTGAATGTAAGCAAAGGTTGCACAGCATGCGGGAATGCACCATATCACAGCCTTAAAGCACCATGATGCAGGAATAAACCTGGAAAAAACATGGGTAGGGTTTCTAGTCGTGAGGATGTGACATTAAAGAGGTCTCGGGTGCTGCTGCTGTCTCCTCGTTTTGAAAGCTGGATATTGGTGTGTGATGTGCTGTTGGTACAGCAGGAATGCCACTGGACTCTCCATATCAGAGCACAGAAATCATGGGTTTGATTATGGGGGATGAACAGGACTAACTTCATTTCCCTTAACTCTATCAGGAAAAAAAAAGAGCAAATCCCAGAGGACTCCAAGAGTTTGACACGAGATGCAGCATCCGCGTGCATGCCAGATTTGATGGAACTGAGATCTGATGTGTCAAATGCATTTTAGGGTCTCGGTGATGTGACAGCTTGCTAATGACTCCGAGCTTGGGAAGCTTTGACTAATCCCTGTAGGAGCTGGCAGAAAAAAATGTAGGGAAACTTTTTTTTTTTTTGGAAAACAATTTTGTCAAAATCAAAACATTGAATGGAAACATGTCTCTTTTAACATCCTTTTCAACTGGAAATGTCAAAACAAACGCTTTTATTTTGATTTGAGTGAGACACTTACAATTTTTACTTTATATTGCAATAAGGAAGCGACACATTTACCATACTTTTATTTACATCTCTGTTTTTTGGGTAATTATTGGGAATAAGGGATTGTAAGCTCCCAAAGTGAATTCTTGGCACTTGTATATATGAAAATTTCATCTTGGAAGTAGAGTGCACGTTGGAAGTAGGTGTGGATGTGGAGGCTGCAGGCGGGTCTGTGCTGCCTCCGGGGAAAGCTCCGCTGTCCGAGCTGCTTCTGCCCCCGCTTTGCCTTCCCTTCTCCGGCTGCGTCCCACAGTGCAGGCATTTGCAGGGGTGGTTTTGCAGTGTGCCTTGGCCTACTCTAGGCCTTTAGCAGCAGCGCAGCTGAACCCAAAAAGCCAATTCCCTTCATTGTAAGTGGAGAATATTTTGTACTGTTTAAATCACAAGGCAAGGATTTCTCCTTCTGTTTGTCTGGACACCCAAACACAAAGGTGAAGGTGTAACTAGCAGTCAGAATAGGAGGCAGAGGGACATGTGTGCCCCTGCAGGAGAGTCAGCCAGCAGCTCTGGCACCTCTGTGTAGCACATTCCTGCTCTGGTTCCACCACAAGCCTCGCTCCTCCCTTGAATCACACAGAAGATTTTTCCTTCTCCTCTGCCTGCCAGTCGTGTGAAGGTTTGCCACACACGACACGCTCTGCTCTGCAGAATGTGATGATAACTTTAGCCACCACTCCTTAAATCTCCTTCTAGCCAAGCAGGGTGGCTTCTGTAAAACCCACCTTGGAGGAGACAGACTTATCTTCGGTTTCCAACACAGGTTGTATTTGAGGAAGTTCTTCCTGGTCTCTCTGGCCTGCAGGTCAAAAAGAGCTGGTGGGTTTTCTTTGTTAAGTGTTTGCCCCTGAGCTAATAGTGATTCTTGTTGTGTCTTACTTGCTCCTTAAAGCATGCAAAGCTCTATGTCTACACCAGATTGTATTAAGCTGTGTGATATTCTTATCATTTTCCCAAATACCTTTTTAATTAAATTGGAGCAGACTGCTCCTTTTGGTCCTTTGCAGTGCTGCAGCAGGCATTCTGGGTCTGTCTCCTTGCTCTGCGCCACTGGGGTCAAGTGCCAGTGTGGTCTGGCTTTAAAACCCAGACCAGGCAGTGCTGTTGGAGGGGGGAAATCAGCAGCACCGGCCTCCCTGCTGCTGGATGCAAGCAGCCAGCAACTGAGTCACGTTTGCTTTGCTCCAGGAAAAAGAAGAGAGGCAGTTTTCACTATTTTTACCATGTTGCCCATGTAAATTGGACAGATTTGCTTCTAACATTGTGAAAATGGAAGCAATACCCCGCAACAAGGCTTTGGAAGCAGGGTTTACAACACCAGCAATACGCGTCAACTGTGAATTTTCCTGTTATGACTGAACTTCACTTGGCTGAGACAACACAGCTGTTTTCTTGTCCAGTCACATCTCTCCTTCCTAATTGCAGTGACCAGGTGGGAAATAAGCGTTAGTACTGGAGAGCCTGGTGAAAGGTAATGCAGCTGGTGGGTGGGCTGGCAGTGAGGATTTGAATGCAGGTTTCAGCAACATGTGTGGAAAGATCTGCAAGAGCCACGGAGGTGTCAGTGCAGATCGGTCCGGTCAGTGCATCGCTCTGGTGATGAAGGCCCAAAAACAAGCAGTTGTTGCCCTCATGTTTTTAAGGGTAGAATCTGGAATTTTACAAATTAAAATGCTGTGGTTTGATTAAGAATAGTGGGCTAGGAAAGGCCCTGCTTAGCCCTGAACACGTTTGAAGGTGTCTCCAGCTCTCGAGGGTTCATGTTGTGCTTGTTTCTGTTACGTGGTTCCCTGAAAGGAACTTACAGGCTCAACCTGGATGTGTCAAACCGATGTTTGTGGACTCAACCAAAGAAAGGCCTTGGATTTTTGAGACATCTCCTTTTGTCAAAGACAATTGGATCAGAGATGTTCAGGTTTGTTGAATTTTGGATTTGATTTTTTTTTTTTAAATCACGACATTTTTCTCTTGAAAAATGTCATTTTGTTGAAACAGAAACTGCTCAAGAAATCTTAGCGATTTTGACAATTCTGCTTGGAAGGGAGCTAGAGAGAAATATCTTGAAAGCGCTAGAGCTAACTGTTCTGACATTTACTGAATGGAGACGAGTTCTGATTTCTTTCTTTTCTTCTTTTGCTTTACAAAATGATGTTTCAAAATGCTCTTTCATTAGAGGAAAAAAAAAGTTGAGTCTGAATGAAATACCTGAAGAAAAAAAGAAATCAAATATTTTGACTGATCCACACCTGTTCAACATTCCCTTTTGCCGTTTCTTTGGCTTTTTGGACAATACAGGATGATACATATATTATTGGTTGTTAAGTTCTGTTATGCATGCACTGAGGTGCGCTTCTAAGGTGAACCCGTGGTATATGAACCGGCCTTCTTTTCCTGTTGATAAATTAACTGGTTTCATAGCCGAAAACAAAGCCCAAACCTGTTTTAATCCATTAACACAACTACACGTCGCAGAGCACCCCAAGTCTCTTGATTCGCGGAACCGTGCGAGGATCTTGCACCGTATGAATTATTCAGCAGCGGCGGTGGAAGTGAAGTACCCATTACATTTACAAATATTCCACAAAGAGTTCAAGGCTGAGCAGGAACAGATCAGACAGCATTTATTGTAAAGCCTTGCTGAGTATTGCTGTAGAAATAATTTCCTGTAGTAATTAAAGCTGGATCTGCAACCTGGCTTTGAAAAGGCGATTGAACCTTTCCCAGTGAATTTAGGAATCATCTGCCTTTTTACATGGTGTAGGTGACTTGTAGCGTTGAGCCTTTGTCTAAAATTAGTCCTCAGCGTGGTGGATGATTAAAGAGGGATTGTTCCTTCGGGCTACTTGGGATTGATGTTTTCTATTAAAAAATGTATTGCTAAAGATTTGTGAAATATAGAGAGCTTCTCTGATTGTGTGCAACTTATTATGCAGATGTGCTTAAGCTATCAGATAAATGATAAACGATTTCTATAAGTTGGATGGGTAGCATGACCCAAGGGTAGAGTTTTTTATTATTTTTCTTCCCCTCTCAGAATCCGAGCAAGCCATTTGTCAAGGCAACCAAGTGAGGTGCCCCGTGATCGTGCATCAAAGAGACTGCTCTGCCTGCAGTGGGCACAACGGGGGTTACTAACGTTGCACCTCATCACACCTCTTCATTCCTGCTGAATTTCCCCTGCCCGTTTTGTTGTTGTTGAGCTGCGCTTCCCACTGCCTCCGAGTGCTGCCCGTGTGCAAAGCAGCCGCCCCGGGAAGGATGGAAGCAGCGGCTCGTGGCAGCGGCCCGGCCTATGCTCTGCCCCGGCGCACCAGTCTCCACATCTCCGATTGAGCCCCAGGCGGGCACTGCTTTGCTCTTCATGGGTCTGTCTTGCTCTTCATCTCCTTGGCTCCTCTCCAGCTTACGGAAGCGGCTGCTTAAGAGGGACTTGGTTAATTCAGAAGGCCGGAACTTGTCCCGCCTTGAGCCCGGGGCCCTCCGAACGGGGGAGCCTAGCTTGTATTTGCAGGGCTGGGGCAGAGGCCTGGGCCACTCGAGACGTGAGGAGCGCAGCCTGGGGCACCTGCCCTTGCCGTGTCGCGAATACGGCTGGAGCAGAAGATATTTGTGGTTTGCACTTCAGTTCTCCGCAGCTGCAGGAACCAGAGGGCTAACAGTGCTCACGGGCAGAGTCACGGCTGTTTGGGTTCTCTTGGCTGTATAACGTTGGGTTCTAGCTGATTTACTTTAATTATGTTCAGTAAGAGAGTCCTTGACATTGGGATGGACAAAGCTCCCTGTAAGGCTTTTTCGAGAGGCGGGGGGGAGAACAACAAAATATAGAGTTTGTTATTGGCAGTGTTCAAACAGTAGCATCATCCAATCCTGAATCGTAACTTTAAAAAATGGGACTTTTCTCTAATTACTTCTGGAACATTAAGTTGCTGTAGGAAATTGGGAGTCTGTTGTGCCAAAGTCTGTACGCAGGCTATAAGAGCCACTGGTCTGAAGAATTACTGACTTAACAGAATAACAAGGAAAAATGATTAGAACTGCTCCCAGTCTTGAAAGGAGTGAAATCTTTTAAAATCAAAATTTCAGTGGGAGAAAGGGTAGCTCTCTTGGAAACATGGCTCTTGCCTCTCACTTAGCTTTGCTGCTGCTTATGTCATTGGTGAGGACCTGATGAAAGGAGATGGTGACTTTTCAGGTAACCTTGGATTTGAGGAAGAGCTCAGGACATCCTTTCATCTCTTGTCTAGTTAGGAACAGAGGGTTGTATTTTTCATCCAGAATCTTATTTCTATGGAAAAAAAATCTGCAAAAATTGATCTTTTTCTATAGCAAACTATTCAATTAGATGTTTTGCTGATTTTTTTCTCTTTCGTGTTGGAAAGATAATTAAACCAACAGTTACCAACAATCCTACTCCTTGAAAGTTATTTTTCTTTTGTAAACTTGAAATACCTTAAACCAATTCGGAAAAAAAAAAAAACAAAGCAGTATTTCCACAGTAATATATTACCTTGTAGGTGTTGTTTGGGTTCTTGTTTTGTTCTTACTGGCTGTATGGTCTGAAGGGCTTTGAAGTCATAGATCTTCCAGGCAAGCTGCATTGTGTCTTGTGGCAGAGGGGCTTTGAAGATCTGAAAAATGACTCCTCTGTTGAGACAAGCAGTCTCTCTTACTTTGGGGTTTGTACAGCACGCAGCACAGCAGGACTGTGATGAAGGCCAGCGCTTACCACTATTACTGTAAATCCCTTATTTGTGTGTGTTACCTGGTCTTGTAATTACAATAGAGTTTGGATTTTATTTGTATGTTTGCTTGTTTGTTTTTTTTTCCAAGAACACTTTGTTCTCCTAAACCTGAAGTAAATAGTGCAGGATATGCTAAGAAGAAAAGGTCTGGGGATTTGTGCAAATTGTGCTGGATTTGGGTAGTAGGAGATAATCCCTCGCCTGTACAAAGCACCTTTCATCCTGCGTTAGTTGTGTAGACGGCAATCGCTTTGCTCTACCCTGAATTGTCTCTGACAGCTTCTCTGTGCCTTGTTACCTACTCCAGTGAAGAGTGTGGCTGCCTTTTTAATTACCGTAATCCGCTGCGCGTGGGCTGGTGGGTTAGAGCGCTGACTGAATCCGCCGGGGAAAGCACCTTGGAGAGGAATGTGCAGCAGGTTCAGACGCTGCCCACCCCGAGCCCTCCCTGGCTTCGGGAGCACTGCTGCCCCTTGGCTCGCCTCCCTTCTTAGGGCCTTTCTCTGCTTTTCATTCTTTGAAACATCTTTTGCCTCTCAGGGCATCAGCTGCTTCAGACCTTCACTTGCTAATGCTGAAGGACAAGGGAGACTCTACTGCCAGGGTTGATATAAATGTGTAATTATTCGGTTTTAATCGGTATTAACAGTGCTGAGATTAGAGTCAGATCCACTCATATCACAATATCGGGGTAACAAGAAACGATCAGTGGCATGTTGATTGAGTTCTCTCTTTCCAACAAAGCCTATAGATAATTTGAATACAGATCATAAATGCAAGATCAAAGTCAGCGTATGTGGCATCCTTGGGAAACTCCTGTTCCGACAGGTTTGTCAACAGCGAGAGCCTAATTGTGTACACAAGTCTGCAAAGGGCTGGAGCGCCCAGCGTTTCATCTGTTTCTGAAGGAAGCTCTGGGCTTGTGTGAAAATTTGCTCTCAAAGAATAAAAACAACCTGATAATAAGAAGCAATACATTATTTTCTTAACTCTGTCAGGCCCCTATCTGAATTGCACAGGGAGACGCAGTGCTGCTGCTTGTCACTTAGTGGCTTCGACCGGTTTCTGGATCAAATCGGCATGGACAGGGATGTGCAGAGTTGCTTCCTGCATTTGTTCCTCCTTCCGCACTGTGGTGAGACACAAGCTCTGCTGCCATTGGAGAGCTCCCGCGGCGCTCCCTGCCCCAGCCTTCCCGCGGGGCTTCCAGTTCGTGATGCAAAGTCCTTGTTGAGACCTGAGTTTGATGGGATGGGTGCTCATCTTCTTCTGGCCTTCATGCCTGTTTGTCATGAAACAGCCTTACAGATGGCACAGCAATATCTTGGGAGTCCTATCAAAGGTGAAGAAGAATTTTTGGTGAAACTGAGGCCGGGTTTCAGGTACGGAGGTATTGACTCGTTGTGAGGTGTAGCCCTTTCCCTGCTTTCATGGCCATGTGGAGCAAACTGCTCTGTCTTTTCCTGCCTTGGCAGACAAGAACTTGCCAGTGCTTCCCGCTCCACTGTGGGGTGAGCAGGGAGCGAGGAACAGGCTTTGGTGTTTAGGGGCCTCACAGCTTCTCTGCTAAAAATATCCTTGTTGAAGAAATCCCAGCCTTTCGCATCTGCTGCTGTGTTTTAAGAATTTCATGGAATGCTTTTCCTCCCTTTTTTTATATTTGCCTTTAGCCAAGTTCTTTGATTTTTCCGTGAAGAATAACATCTTCTTTCCTGGGACTTGCACTTGCATTCTTTTCTGGGGAAAAATCTCCCTTCAGAAATACCCAAATGGGGCTTTCTGAGGAGCCGGGCTTGCCCTGTGCGCAGGAGCTGTGAGGCTGCTGTGCCCTGGCCGCACAGGCAGCCTGCCCCTGGTGGCCCCAGCTCCGTGGGCACCACACGGGGTTCCACGCCCAGGCCTGGGTGCCAGCACCTTTGTGTCTGTTAATACACAGCAAGGTCTCTCTGTGAGGGCTGGAAGCCTCTGCTGCAAGTTCAGGCTTCAAATCCCTGCCAATAATGCTGAGATAGAGAAGGGGATTATAATGGTACATAACAAATAACAAGGTTTTAAACCTTAAGAGCACTGTACACAGAAACGGAGGCATTGTTTGCATGGGGAAGCCCATGGGTATGAGGAAAGGCTTTTATTTCATGTATCTATACACTTGTGTTAAGATACTGCTGCTTGTGCAGTGGGTTGTTATAATATAGTTATCCCTGGAGTTATCCTCTTGCTCTCATGCATGTAGGTTGTGATCTCGTTCTGCCTCCCTCAAAGCCTTGCAGCCCTATTCAGGGGCAAAAAAAAGGAAGGTGAACAAATAATCAAAGGAGCAAAGTCAACGTGGAAATCTGCCTTTTCTTTCCTCCTTCCCATCCCTTCCTCCTCAGCTTCTCTGTCAAAGAGAGGGCACCCAAGCAGGGCCAACTTCCTCGGCTTTGTTCCTTGCAGCGAGTATGGACAGCTCTGCACCGAGCGTGTCCCGGCTCAGTCCAGAGGTGGATCCCCAAGGACCAAGTCTGGGCAAAGCTGTCCCTGTGCATGCCCGGCCAGGCCAGCGCTCCTCGGAGAGCCTGGGGCTGTGCACATGGAATCCTGCACGTGGGGGAAGGCCTGTCCACTTGAAAGCTCTTTGCAAAACAAGACTGTCATATAGGAGACAGAAGCGGGGTGTCAGAACACATCAACGCTGCTCCGAGCGCCTGGCCGCCTCCTAAATCCCCCTGCCCTCTGGAATCCCATGGAGCTGGGTTTGCACAAAGGGAACTTGTGCAGGTGCTTCCTTGGGTGGTGTCAAACAAAGCTGCTCATATTTTCTGCTCATATTTTCTGAGCAGTTGGTACATGTGACAAAAGAAGATGGAGAGGAGGAACCTTGGGCTTGGAATAAATAAAGTGTTTTAATAAAACAAACAAAAAAAAAACACCTCTCAAAAGTGGATCTGAAACATCTAAGAGAAGTATTTATTTAAGCCAGCACGTGGTTTGCTTTTCGTGCTCCTGCTTTGTAATGCTGAAACATCTGGAGTCGTCTCACCTGCCAGGGTGGAATGGCAAGTTGCCAGGTAGCTGAGGTGAAGGTGCGTTCATACACGCTTAAAACAAACGTGCACGATACCCATGTGCTGTTTAAGCGTCATTATAAAGCCAAACGTAACCACGCTGTAAACACACATTACTGCAGCCCCAGCTCCAATGCCGGCCGTCTGCTGGTGTAAATCTAGCGTTTGATCTCCTGCAGTTTATCTGCATCCTCATTGGCAGAGTCTGAATTCAGCTTGCTGACTTTAAAGAAGAGTGAGTTTTTATTTTATTTTATTTTATTTTTTTGCCTTTTCTAGTGCTAAATTTGATTCCTGCAGGTTGTTATCTTCCTGTTTTTAGCAGTATTTACACAGAGGTCTAGGTGACCTCCCCTGTCCCGCGTTGCCTGTGCCTGCTGGCAGTGTTGGAGCGCCACATCAGTGGTACCCACCCACTGGTAGGCGCTGACTGTGACACTATCCCAGAGGCGGCCAATTATGGAGGAA